GGTTCTATTTTGTATTGTAAATTGGATTTGCTTGGATTGAGAGTTTATTTGGCATGTAAAAGTCGAATAAACTAAACAAAGCCAACTGTTAATCCCTGAGAAATACAATTCAAATTCGATGGCACATCGTATCAAAATCAACACAGGCCATAATATAATAACCGAATCAACGTATGCTGAGTGTTGAATCACTCACTATCACTGACATATTAAACATAGCCGTAAATTGTGTAAAAGAAAATCCACGCATTTTCTAATTTTGTTGGGTTTATTGTGCGGATTTTTTTTTTAATTTAAAATAGCAGATGTGATGCGCATTACACCATCTTGCTCATTGCTGTAGAGAGAAAAAAGCACCATCAACAAGAAAATGGAATGAAAAGATCGCTGAAATTTCATTAAATTTGTATCTCGAACTGTTGAATATATTATTCATCGCATTCATTTTTGACAGGTAAACGACGCTCTTGAAACGGTTGGAAACCATTTATACTTATAAGACGGATGAAGCACATCACATTTTATTTCAGCATTTTTCTTTGCAAATTTCATTAGGAATCATTTTGTCCACAATTTTTACAAGTGACATTTGAATGTCGTAAGGACTTATAGCAGCAATTCATGATGCAAATATTTTAAAATATACTCGTAAACGTATCATGCGTTACAATGGGTTAAAATGTGGCAACACGGTAGAATCTAATTCTAAAAATTAATGTCACATGGGTTAATTATTGATCAATTCAATTTAAAAAATAATAATCCAATAGCACTTAAGAATATTGCATTTGTCATATATGTCGTAATATAAAAGGAAATCTACGTCAATATTTTGTGTGAACGAATAGGTATTTATGAACATCTAAAAAGTGTTTTCATTTCATAAAAAGAAGTCGGTATCACCAGCATCAAAATCAGGAAATGGATACGTCAAAATCATGTAAATCCTCGTGCAACGTTTATTTTCTTACTTTGTGTTAAAAAGAAGAATTCCAAACATCCGTTCACCATCAATTTACATTTTCATCACAAAGCAACATCCGCTATTGTGTTGCTACAGTGAAATTAGCCAAAGGCAATGATTATAATTGTTTCGCATTCTATTTTTACATAACACGCACGAATTCTCGCATGTTCTTTATTCGGATATAGTTTAGCTCATGTATGGAAGTCGACGCATATCAGTAAAATGCTCTGACGTCATTGTTTTTGTATCCTTATCCCAATGGATCATCAACTGAAGACTTTGCACATACAATAAAGACTCTTTCTTTTGTCTGATGGCAAAGCGAGTCTTTTCTTTTTGTTCTTTTCCCGAAACTTTAGCAATGAATTCTTTGTCTATTTCAATTCTATTAAATTATTAACGGTTCTCTATAGATTGACTCGGGATTGGTGTGAACATACAAACAATAAACAACTCTTCATTGGTTCCGGCTGCTTTTGATTTTGAAATAATATCCGAATCTAATAGTATGCGGTCACACTTATTTTACGTTTCAAAATGAAAAAATAAATAAAATATTGTACCGAATGGTCTTTTTTCGTATATATTAGAGTGGTAAAAAAAAGTTTTCGGGAAGTTTTGATAAAACGACATAAAAAACGTATTTGAGACCATGTTTGATTAAAAAAATATGATCGGGTCAAAAAGTTGTCGGATTTTGTATGGGAGCTATACACGGGTTATTTTTTTCACAAAAAAGTAACATTCTGAAGGTTTGAAGAAATAAATAAAAAATCATTTTTTACAACTTTTGCCGTTCGGTTATGCTTTTACTTTAATTGAAAATTATTTGTGCATAGATTTTGGTAAAACTAAATGCTGTGCATAAACATTTTTCAGCTTAAAACTTAAAAATTACATGGTAATCAAAACAATTATATATTGTTTTAAATCCACGTCCTTTAAAAATGTTAATATCAAACTTAATAAGTTGCACAACATTTCATTTATTTATCAAATAGCAAAATAATAAGATTACTTTTATAATTCATTGTCCACGTGAAATTAAAATTAAAAAATGACATTTTGTGGTTGAATGGGATTTCCAAGAATTTCATAATCAGCTCGACTCGGACATATTCTTCGGAAGATAATAGGTTCGTTGAACTTTGTTGTAGCAAGATGTCATTCATTTCCTCTTGAAAAGATGAAATATTCCTGTCTTTGTTTGTAACTGTTATATTTACATCATTTTTTTACGTAATGAAAAAGTTCAAAGAAATTCCCTCAAAATTTAAATCTTTCTATTGATCTTATTAATGACATAATGTAACGAGAACGATATTGGATTTACCTTCTTAACGCATTTATTTAGATGCGATAAAGTTTTTCGAAGAATTCGATGTTCATTTTTGTATGTGGTTAGAAATTACCTATAGCTGTTATATAAAAAGCGAAAGCGTAAACGTATAAATTGTCATTATAGACGTCTGTAGTAGCGTTTACTTTGTGTGTGTGGGCGTAACAAAACAAAATGAATAATTTAAGTTGCACCAAATTTGTACGTTTTAGCCATTGTTTTTTTCTTCATTCTTTCAAACGTGGAAGGGACATGAATTGGATGCGAAACAAAGCAAACCATAATGTGTACATGGAGTTGTGAGCTGTTTTTTTTTATTTGCAATTTTTCTTTGTATTTTATCTATTAATTAGCGACTGGTGAATGGAAATGAAATGACGAACACATAGTGGTTACTTGTTTTAGATGCGGGGAAAAAGTAATCGCAAATAATGCTTAGTAATGTCATGAAATTCTATATAAATCTACCGCTAAAGGGGCATTTAATTTACTATTAATAACATTATCGTAATGAGAATATACAACAGTTCTTCGAAATCGTTTATACAACAAATGACAAGCATCGTGAATCACAATACATACTATATTACTATATATAATATGCTGTAAAACGAACCCACTGCGTACATTTCAAAGAATTGGATTTGAAAATGTATTTTTGGACAATGGCCATTGAGAATGCATGTATTTATAAGAATCTCAGCTACAATGAATACTCCCCGATTAATGAAAAACCTTCGAAATTCGAGAAACATTTTTGTGTATTTTGAGTTTTGAAAAAGAAATTATGATTTATACGACTTTTTCTCTTCCAAACAAATAATAACATAGTCAATATTATCTTTTTAATTTCCCAAAAATACCACCGAAGAATATAACAGCACTCTCTGCTGTGCAGCTAAGGGAAGATGAAAATGTCCCCTGTGATTTGATTCTTGAATAATTTCTCTACAGAAAGTGAGACTATCCTAAAATATTCTAAAAATGTCAATGATATAGAAAAGAAAAATGTCACCAAATATGCTCATCCTCATACTATCATATTATGCCATAGACATTATGAATCAGAAACGAAGAAGCGGCTAACGGCCTCGTGAAGTAATTTATAAAAAAAAATTAACATCGCTTCTGTGAATAAACCTACCGTGGTCCAACTGAAGTATATTATATGGAATGGCAGATATTTTATGTAAATATAAACCTACATGAAGAGAATACAAAGTTAACGTACGCAAAAAATGGTTATGAACCATCCGCTAAACTATGTGGGTTGACAAGGCAAAGACTTGCTTTTATGATATATGAACAATAATTAAAACAAAGTTTTATCGAAACCTTTTTATGAACACAAAACGGAAATTAAATCGTGGTCGTGCATACACCTACCACTAAATGCATTTGCTGTGTATATTTTGCATTTATTTATTTATTTCTTGTTATTTTACTTATTCTCTGAACGAACATTTTCAATCAAGTGCTTCTACATCATGGTTCACGTATTGCGCGTAAATGCCAATAAGCAAGCGAGGTAAAGGACGTTTGATAGTGGATAAAAAAAGAGTTAGTCCATAGCAGTTCAGGTTGAAGTTGTGATGCGTCAGTAATCATCAAATGAACGTCACGGCAGCTAAATAGTTTAAGTCGCTGCAATGTTTTTGATTAACATATTTCGCCGGTGGAAGACATACATCAAAAACAAAGCCTTTGATTTATGTAAAGCGACAAAGCAAATTTAGTATTATGATTATTCAAATTCATGAATGAAACAATTGCAAACTACAAGTAGTAATTGAGACTCAATGATTGAATATGACCTGAAGGAAGGAGATGGTTTGTGTTTTACACATTTCGTCTGAGTTAAGTGTGAATTAATTGAAGGTACACCAATTCAGTTTATTTAATAATTATCACAATCGACCTGCAAATATTATGAATAAAGTGCTCGAAGTCTTTATCATTAACATATAGACATTTCGATATGCATTTTTTTTTGTTTCATTATCAAATACAGTGATTAAGCATCACGTACCAAAGCTAGCATCATCAAATTCATGCACAAATACGTTTTAACATGGCTCAAAGTTTCGATCACTCATACATATCACTTACATTTTCTCAATGTTCCACACTCATACCTATACACAATTGTAAATGGTGTTTGGATTTTTAATGTGTGCAATTAATTTACTTATAATACAATCTAATGGAGAATTGTTTATTCTACTTACGTAAATCCTAAGTTCCGGCAACTTTATGCCACAAGGTCAGCACTTAATGGAACTTCTTCTTCTTGCAGCTTTTTTTAGATTGTTTCTTGTTATTCTGAGAATATTCTGTCTTCCATTGGCTCTCTATTTATTTGCCCTCATTTAGTTTCGTATTTCTAAATAAAACCAATCAATGTGGCCAAACATTGAAAACACCATGCAAGACGTGCAGAAGTTACCAAAATTCAGCGATCAAATTGGATGACAGAGCACATAAGCTGAGAGAGAGAGAGAGAAATAGAGCCGAAAAGTTTTTATTTACTTACCATACCGCCTCATAATTTTATCGACAGAGTTATGAGAGATAGTCATCAGATAATTCTAATGTTTTTCGTTGAAAGCAACACATATAAAATACGTCATAGAACCAGGATCTGTGTTCAGGTAAAATATATATTGTCAAACTCTGAGTATGCAATGTGTGTTATTCTACCATGAGAGACGCTGCGTTCAGACGTGAAATTTGGGTCGCAGAATTTTTATTAATTTAATTAAAAATTCTTTTGATTATTCTAGCTGATAGATTGTACATTTTCAAAAAAGTTGACCTATAAATTGCATTCATATGTTATTCATTATTAGAGATCCAATTCAAAACTAATTGAACATTTTCAGCCGTATCTAGTCATAAAGACTGCATTCAGTGTCATGATCACGATCAGGTATAATATCATTGTACAATTTATACAACTGATCCAGCGAACACTTTTCCCCGCAATTCGGTATATTCAACGGCAAAAGAATTTCTTCATCCGATTTTCTGTAGAAGATTTGAATGTAATGCTCCTTTTCGGCCACTTCGTATAATTCCAAATGCAAACTCGATGCAAACGGTGGAAAATGTGGCTGTGGAGAAAAAAAAAATTAAAATTAAAGAAAAAACTACATCTTTTTTTCCATTGAATTTACTTACTTTGAAAAGTCCAAAGCTATTCAGTAGACTGGCGATAGTGATATCTTGTGTCGAGTAAAACCAAACCGAACGATTTGGTTCCAACGTTGAGTTTATCTTTTGAGCGAAACGTTCGAACATTTCTTTAATCAAAAATCCAGACCACAGTCGAGCCAATTCTTTAGTATTTGATCTCATTTTAAACCAAAAATAAGCACTGGACTCCAAAACACCATTTGGTTCCATTGCTTTTCGTGCCCAATCAGAAAGTCTTCATAATTAAATACATAAATTTGGTTAGTTGAAACTGTGTAACTATGTATACTACAGTAATTATTTATTACTTACGTTTTATTATGTAGACTTTGAAAAAAAAGTACCTCATATATGTGCCATAGATCATCAATGGTCGTCAAATTCGACCCGCACATATTCGACCAGAATAATATATCTTGTTTATTTTCGTTAAAAATTCGCTGCAATTCGGCTGATTCATTTTTGTATTTCTCGAGAGCAGCAGAATATCTTGGACAATCGCCTGGTCCACGCATTGCGTAGTCCAAATTCAAAGGTATTGTATGAACGGGAATCGGTTGCCATGCAATATCATCATGCCATTTCTCTTCGGCGTGTGGTGGAAATAGGCCAGCTAAATTGGCAAGTGCCGACATCAAAATACGGTCTTTGTCGGTTGAATGCACGTACACTCTTTTCGGTGAATATTTATCACCAAGAAGTTTGTGATATCTTCTTCGGAAGTATTGTCCCAATTTGAATTGTTGTCTTTTACCTTCCTGTCAAATGTCAATGGAGAGTGTTAACGAAAGACAATTTTCTAAGTAGAATTTAACGTATTTACATTTGTGAGTGCTGAAAATCCACCAGTCCAATGAGACTCATCAATATACGGATCTTTTGGAAAAACATGTGGAAAAATTTTGCCATTTCGCTGACCATGTCGATAGAGCTATTAATTACACAAACTTTTAATTTACATCATTTTTATCAAAACCAAATGTTCTTACAACATGCGCAAATATCAATTGACTAGCATTTGAATGCCAGATAGCACTTTTATCTTCCACATTATTTACATCGTCGTGCGAAAATACGTCATAGGCACAAAATAACAAAAAATTTAAAGCAATAACTCGAGAATACAACATACTTTGAGATCAAATCACTTTTGCACTGAATAACAGTTTATGACTTACTACAGCTGAACAAAAACTGAATATTATATTTAACATCATGTATATTATACATTTTTTAATGATAAACATTGTTATATCCAAACATATGAAGTTACGGAAATGATTATTGATAAGCGCAAAACTTGATTATGATCTGAAATACATATTTATTATGTTATCACTACTAAACGGAAAACAACAAATTCAGATATTGTTAATCGCTGACCCAAAAAATCATTATCAATAAAAAATGATATCTTTCAATATTTCACTGGGCTTGAATGAATGAATATTCTTTCTAAGCTAACTTATTTGGCCGACCGACATTTTGGCAATAAAATTTGAAATAATTTTAATAGAACATTTTTTCATCTATCAAATCACTTGCTACTATTATTCGATAAATGAAAGTATTTAGAAAAAAAATTCAAACAAATAAAATTGTAATCGTCTACTAGTAAGTTTATCAGTTGAGATGTCGGTGGTGCATTGCACCAGGACAACATAATTTTTGTCTGGATCTAAATATCTAAATGCTAAAGAAGCCAAAACCAATGGTATTTTGTTTCCGTCTTTGCTTCACTTTTTCATCATATGCAATTGTATGGTATTCTCATTTATGATTTTTACCAAATGCAGTAAAACTGTTCATATCTGCATTTTTCAGTATATTCAGAACGCCATTTTTATAGTCTAAAATAGCAAAAAAAATTGCATTCACTCAACTCTCATTTAAAATGTACGTAGAGGTACGAATCCGCATTGTGGTACAAAATATTAAATGCTATTAGTCTGCACCCACTCGGTCGGTATTCTCGGCTTGTTAATAAACGCAGTGCTTGTTTTTCATGGAAATTTATTCACAGCACGAGAATCCTGTCGAGAAGTTTTAACTTTCATCGTATAAATTTTTTGTATTTTTTTCTCACTCTTTCCTTTTGCTTCATTCTCGATGTGGTTTCCATGCATTTTAACATCACATTCCCGTACAATGCTGTGAAGTAAAAGCATTGAATAAAAATATGTGCAAAACGTGTGGAAAATATGATGGCTATTGTGACAAGGATTTCAATGTGATTTCTCGCGCATTTGGTTACCATTTTTACGTCAAATTAAATGTTTCGAAGGTAACTTCGATTCGCTTGTTGCTAGGAAAGTATAAAAAAGAAGACGAAAGAAAAATCGATTTGCAACTAAATCGTTTGACACAGAGTGAGTGAGTGACGACAAACAGCTATTGCATCAGATCTCTCTGAGGTGAGGGTAACGATAATAGTATATTACACAATAATCATTTTTTTATTTCCCTTGACATTTGCAAGATACGGTGAACCATTGCCTTGCATACTAATCACATATATATTTCACCGGAAGTTGAATCTTAATGTGAACTTATGATTAAGATCAAACCACATTCTAGAATAAGTATAATGACGACATACGCCAAATACAGAAGAGAAAAGAATATGTTATAAACCGCTCTTTGGTTATTCAACAAGTTTGTCAGAAATGTAACCTGCAATACATCGAATGTAATCACACTTTATGTGTATCAAATTGCATTCGGTTTGAGGACCAATTAGTGTTTGAAATGGCACCACTGTGTATGGAAATAATTACATCCATCTAAATCCAAGCCATTCCGTCACTCAATAAAATTGTCTTTGTTTTTTATTTGAAACGTTCAGACCACCGATGTTTCACCACCAACATGAGCACTGCTTATTGAACAGAACGTTGGATTAAAGAATAACAAAACGACCGCAACAGCACTTCGGCTAATTGGAAATGTAGATGCAAAATAATTAAGTTTTTTTTACTGTGTCGATTTGTCCTGTGATGTGTGTGTGTGTGTGTGTGTGTGTGTGTGTGTGTGTGTGTGTGTGT